CGCTTACAAATAGCCCCTCTTTTACAAATCTTCCGCGTAAATATTGGATTTCAATCAACGTAGATTTCAATATCACATTCAATCTTCGCTTCAGCTTGTCCTACATTTGAGAACAATGCCCGTACATCAAAATAACCAACGTTCCAAAATTCCACTGACCAGAATTATTATGTTCATAAGTTCGTTCCGTTTGAAATGAACGACGATACGATTTGAAATTTAAGCGAACGAAGGAAAGAGACTATCGATTCAAGAAATGTCGAAAGTTCTAAATATTCCGTTATTAACTGTGCACGGACATTTCAAGAAAATGGGAATGATGTCTGGAAACTGGAATTACCAAGAGAACTTTTTCTTCTTCTCTTCTCGAGAATTAACTTCATCAAATGACATTCGATGTACGTATCCAGTCATCCCATAAGTTCGTTGCAGACGTTCGTCAAGGAACTTTGTTTTTCTAATTGCTACCAGGTAGTTGAACAATAAATTCAGGCAGACACTGTCCGTAGCTGGATAAACGAAGAGGATCAACAGCAACGAAACGCCCCAGACTCACAAATCGAGGAAACGTGCTTTTTTATCGCGATAATATATCAGGCCACATGTGGCGCAAAATGTGCAAAAAAAATTACGTGAATTTTGCGAAGAAATTTTGTCGGATCCATCATATTCTCCAGACATTGTCCCCTCAGACTATCACCTATTTCGATCGTTGCAATACATTTTAGCTGGCAAAAGATACGACAATATTTGCACTAAAAAAAAGAGACCTCGAAAAATATTTTCATGAAAAGCCAAAGAAATTTTACAGCGACAACACGATGCTAAAAAAAAAAAAAAAAAAAAAAAAAAAAAAAAAAAAGATGGAAAGAAGTTGTGGAGCGAGAGAGTGATTACATATTTTCATCTAGCAGGTATACAGGTATATTTCAAATTTTGCCACAAAATAAGTATTGTAAAAAGGGGGACGAACTTTTGGGATGACCTAATATTAAACTCTCCGCGTTTTTAATCGTCTGAGACGTCGAGTTACGTCAACGTGCAAGCGAAGAAAAGTCAGCAAAAAAGAAAAAGTGAAAGTCGTCCAGCGAGAAGAGGAAGCATTTCTTTCGAACGAAACACCCGCGTTTGATACCGAATTACGATGAACGTTTCCACATGGATAATCACAAAATGACCGAAACGAGGCACGGATTCACAGAGACCAGAATACCATCCGCCACAGCGGACATAAAACCGTGGAAGGTGTGTCGTGAATGTCAGACTCGATAATTGCCTGCAGTCGTATACGTCTAGTCACGGTATAATTGTCACGCGGCCAATTTGTTTCGAGCATTAACGATAGAACTAGCGACTATTATGTACTGAGTGTCTATTTCCACCAGAATAATAAAAAATCGCTAAAATTATGGAAGGAAATAAAAAACAGAAATACGACGTAACAAGTTTTTTTTTTGTTGCGCAACATGTCTGTGCGAAATCGAGTGACTAGGAAATTAAATTTTTTGATGAGTGATAGAATTTTGTACTCTGTATCGTTGCGTAATAAATTGTACCTTTATATATAAATTAATTAATAAGATTTAGTTCCAAGTCGCTGGTAACCCGTACGGGTGGTTGATAATGAAAATAGGAAAACAAATTTTTCAGAAATTGTATTTCAAAAAGTCAAAACTGGTGACTTCTCGTAGAGATTTTACAGACTCACGGCGAATCTCTAGAGAACGATTATTTTCGATGAAACTTGTGTCGTCTCAAAATTTCCATTTCCTATTCTTCGCACTCTAATTTCTCTGACGCAAATTTTATACTTTGGTCGTAGATCTTTCTAGTCTGAATCTAAATATCAAACTAACGCACATTTCAAAGCATCTGGAGTATATTTTTATTTAAAATTATTGTTATCAACAGTTGACAAAACAAATTCCAGAAACACTCATTCCCACTCAAGACGCTTGAGATTTCGATAAAGCACAAGATCCCAAATAAGAGATAGATAAATAAAAGAAAAACAAGAGAAAAAATAGATAGGAAAAAAAGCAAAAGAAAAGATGGAGAAAATGAAAGGAAAAGTAGAGAAAATAAAAGATATAAATATGAATATATTAATATATTATAATTAAAATATAAATATAAAAATAAAAATAAAAAAAATAAGAAACGGAACGAAACGTCTCTGTGTTTTAAACCAGACGAACAGAGAAAGAAACCGATAGCTCGTAATTCGTATAGAGAACGATTCTTATTTTTTCGCGTTTCTTGTCCGCGCGTTTCATTGAAATTCGTCGGATGGTCCACGATGCATGGACGAACGGAAGCTCGTCCGGCCTCGAATATATTTCCCCCGCGTTCGGCTCCCGCATTTTCGTGCGCGAAGGGCACATAACGATGGTAACGTAAGCCACGAACCCGGCCTTGCGAATATCGTTTATAATGCGAGGCCGCGCGGTTGGCTCGTTATCTACCTGCAAAAGCGCCAGATGTTCGACTCGTGACAAAGAGTTTATTGTTCCTTCGTGGCGTACGCGTGTGCAGATCACCCGTGTCGTGTATCGGTATATACGTTCGTTAGTGTTCGACTCGTTACTTTAAAACGTCTGACTCGCGCGCAAACCGCGCGTGTCGTATTGACTTGAATGTACATTCATATCAGTCGCTCTCGAGACTCGTGTCACAATCGAGAAATTTCTCTCGTATCGAGAGATCCTGGTCATCCTGCACGCGGGATGTTTATTTTCACAGAAATCTTGCGAAAAAAATTTGTGATGGTTCCTGTAAATTCACGGGAAAATGTTTCAGATAGAAGTTCATTAATGTCAGATAATATATTCTATACTTTCATCGAAATTCACATCTTCGTGCGCGCAAGTGGAAAAAGAGAATCTAATTATAAATTGCTCCCTCCGTTAAATTGTGCTTCGTTTTTGCATATCGTGTACTTTTAACTTTCCCATAAATACATAAACATTTACAGTTTATATATTCTACCCAACTGTAAAAATATTAATGATTAATAATCAGTATAATTCGTTGCCACAACTAATTCTACAATACATAATATATAATTAATTATATATTGTTCGTTAGTTAATTAATTATTTATTAATTCATATATTAATTGGTTATATTAGTTTGTTCAGAAAAATTCGTATTCAAACACGCAGATAGAATAAAAGAACCTAGGTATAAATTGTTTCTCCCATTAAAATTTATATCAAGCGCTATACTTTGGACTACCTTTACACGATACCTTCAAATTCCTCATAAATACACAAATGTGGTAAAAAAAATTTAATATATTTTATTTTTATATTTAGTATATTATTATATATAATATTTTGTATTTATATTTAGTATAATATTATTATATATAATATTTTGTGTAATATTATTATATATAATATTTTAAATTTATATTTAATATAATATTATGACGTAATAAAAATATTTAATATTATATATATATATTACCCAATTTATATTAATTCATATTAATTCATATTAATTTATATTCATATTAATATTATACTAATATTATATTATATTATATTACCCAATAGTAGAAATTAGTATTTCCAAGTATTTTTATACTCTATAGTACATAAAAACACCTGTAAAACACAGCTCGTAACAGATTTCATAGTCGACGTCCTTCTTCATACGTCTGTATCGAGCAGTCGAGTGAGTGGGACGCTCGGCGTCGTTCGACGACCTCGCAGGCGAGAGGAGAATCGTTCTTTCGAGGCTTTTCACCGATACCTTATAGAAAGTTTCTCGGTAGAAGGCGCGCCAGCCTTGAAAATTGGCGCTGTCATCGCGCAGGTGATCAACACAATACCAAAAAAGGTGTCACGGACGTGATAAGTCGCTAATTTCGACTTTCGACCGCCTAGTCCTCGAAATGTACGCTACTGTGATTGTAATATTTTATGGGGGGAAAAAAAAAACGAAGACCATAGACTTGTTGTTTTTTTTCTTTTCTTTTTTTGTTTTTTATCTTTTAAAGAAAAAATCGCAGCTGCTCTCGCTAGTAAGTTTCGATATATCTCTGTCGTTTCATTAAGAATAAACCAAAAAAATTCATTAAGAATTTATTATTAAAAAGGACTAATAAAAAGCTCAAAACGATAAAATTGTCCGGTACAACGTTTCTCGAAATCGTTTGGACAGTCCTGTGAAACTTGCACTTGTCGGAACGTTTCTTTATTCAGACCTTCTTTCCACATTTTTTTGCGCTTCCCACAACGTCATGTGGAAACGCTGATCACTTATCCTCGCACACGCTCTTACAAAGAGTCCACCCACCTTCTGAAGAGTTCCCCGCCAGAAATAGGTTAATCGTTCGGGGCACAAAGGAACACGATCGCGAGAAATTACAAGTCCGACGTGTAAAATATGTCATCGTTCGATCTCGTTCTCTACTGTCTTGAAAAAGAAAAAAGAAAAGCAGAAAAGCAGAACGCGACATTGGCGTTTCTGTAATGAAATACATTTCCTGCTTTCCTTGATTGTAAATCAAGTTGCTGGAAGGAAGAGCTAAGAAATAGAAGAAAACAGTAGAATGATGCCTGTCATGAGTCAGCCAATTGCCCAACGCGAAAACAAAACTGAACCATCGAGTCTTTGCGATTATCAGGTCAGTCCACGAGTTCTTTGCGTACTTATTATGTTGTTTTCTTTTTTTTTTTTTTTTCTTTTGTTGAAATAGATATTCATTTCTATAACTTTATACCAGCTTTTCCTCCCAATATTTTGTTTNTTTTTTTCTTTTGTTGAAAGACGCACGATCCATAAGATTGCAAAGATTACAACACGAAGGCAAAATTATTTGAAAAATAATAAAAATAAATAAAATAAGTAAAAATAATAAATACTAAAATTAAATCATTTGAGAAAAAATTATACTGCCATCAAGATGACACTACATGCATTTATTACTCGTTGGATTTAAAAAAAAAAAGTCTCTACTGTATGTTATATAATCTGCCTTTGAGTCAGACGTTTGCGTCTCCCGTAGAAAAAAAAGTAAAAAATAAAAAAATAAAATCTGTCGCTCACAAAGCGAAATTTCCCTCAGGACGTGAACCACTCTGATTGCCTAATCTCTTGGTCTGTTGCATTTAAAAGTACGCACGAATTTACAAATCGACCTGACGTTTGCACCAGACAATCTGAGCTGAGAATTCCTGACTTGGTACTTCAAAAAAAAAAAATAACAGAGTGATCCCCGTGATTGACTGCACGAAAGACACGCGATCCATAATGCAAAAATTCTACAATACGAAGACGAAATTAAATTAAATCGCTTGAAAAAGATTAAACTGCCACCAAGATGATACGCATTTACTACTCTGGGCTTTAAAAAAGTCTCTACTGCGTTACATAATCTGCCTGTTTGAGTCAGACGTTCAAAAGCAAAAAGAGAAGAAAAAAGATCTGTCTCTCACGAAACGAAATTTCCCCCCCCCCCCCAATGAACCACTCTGATTGCCTAGGTTCTTGGTCCGTTGCATTTAAAAGTACGTACGAATTTACAGATCGGCGAGAAATCGACGGTGAAAATCTAAGTCGAACTCCTCGCTTGTTACTTCCAAAAAAAAAAAAAAAAAAAAAAAAAAAAAAAAAAAAAATAATTTCCCCTTTTTGCTACTCAGCCAATCGCTCCGTGATTCGCGGAAAATCCCAAAGACCATTCTTCTTCGCCGATCTCTCTTTCAGCAAATACGACCGAAGTATCCTTCGCTGGTAATCGCGTCACGAACAGCTAATCAATCGAAGATCGATAGCCCCTCTCACTCTCTCTTTTTCGGTGTTCGCCGCGAGATCCGTCTTAATTCGTCCCTCCTCCACCTGCTTCTCGTGACGCGGATCGATCCGAATTGGAGCGGCGCTTTAATATCTTGGAAGATCCTTCCTCTGTGTGCTCCGCCACAGCCGGAAGATCGATAACCTCCTTTTTCCGCATAGAGATGTTCGGTCCCGCGGCTTTATTAGAAACCGTCACGGCAACAAAATATCACGAACGAGGCATCTACGTACCGGCGACAAGCGGAAATTTATCGACGATATTCCTATCGGCCGGAAGTATCGATCCTCGTTTCCATCCAACGGAGAACCTTCTTCCACAAGCTTCATCCTCTTCCATTTTTCTCTTACGAGGGCTGTCCCAGAAGTATCCAACCTCTGCTTGTATTTTTGAAACACATTCTGGGATAAACATACTTTAACTATTCCGGGATCATTTCCACGACGTCACCTTCAAACTAGTTCCCTTCCGACTCTATAACTTTCTTCCAGCGGTCGATCCACTTCTCGAAACAGTCCTGGAAATCCTTTTCCTTTATGGCTTAGCAGCGGCTGCGTCGCATTTTGTTTTATTTGCTTCGAACGTCGTCGAATCTTCGGCCTTTCAACGATTTTTTTTCAGTTTTGGGAATAACTAGAGATCACACGGTGCTAGATCCAGACTGTACGGAAGCTGCCGAAGCTGAAGAATGCCATGTTTTGCTAAGAAATCGTGAATAATGCGAGCGTTGTCATGTTGCAGCAACCAATTGTCACTTTCCCAAAGATGCGGCCGTTTCCTCCGTACTGCGTCACGCAAACGCTTCAGCACTTCTAAATAATATTCTTTACTTATTGTGCGACCTTGTGGGGCGTATTCATGGTGGACAACACCTTTGCTATCGAAGAAATCGGTGAGCATGACCTTCGCGTCGTTACTCCGACTCTGCCGTGCTTTCTTCTTTCTTTCCTTTATCTGGAGTCATCTCCGTAAACTTTCTCGAATCATACGAATTGTCTCCGAACAGGTGTGACCAAGTTTTTGCCAAAACTTGATGCAAATTCTTTGCTCGACTCGCTCCGTCGTTGTGTAAACGCGACGCTCGGGGAATTTGACGTTCACAGAACTGCGTATTGCTTTTAGGCTTTTGTTAATCGATAAGGTCGACTCCTAAAGGACCCGCCTAAGTGCTCCATACCTGCTTTTTACAATTGGATACTCAAGGACAAAGTTATATGCAGAGATCGAATACTTTTGGGACAGTCCGTGTATTCCTGTCATCCTCTCTTCTTCCTTCTTCGCTTCTTTCTTTCTTTCTCTTTTCTATTTCTCTCGTTCCCTCTCTCGTTCTTTACTCCTTCCCGCCGAAAAACGATTTACTCCCGCCACCTTTCCCATTCCCTCTCGTGCTGTCGAACGTTTGGAGGCACGGTCGATCGGTTGCCGGAATAATCAGCCCGGTTTCGAATCGCTTAATTGCCCCGCGAGGAAAAGCACAAGGCGCGTTTTAAAGAATGGCCGAACGAGGGGGAAAGTAGGTCGTGGAAAAAAAAAAAAAAGAAAAGTGGCCTCTTGTCGAAAGTGGTCGGGAAAACCGACGCAAGTTCACGGTCGTCGTGTCCCGACTACTCCGCGAAACTGGGCTCGTGTTGCTTTTCCCTTTTTCTCGTTGCTCTGCTGTTTTGTTTTTTTTTTCTTCTTTTTATTTTTCTCTTTTTTTTTTTTTTTTTTT